ACTTTGACTCGATAGTAGAATGGGTGGATAGTAAAAGTAACTTTTAAGTTACTAATAATGTCTGACAAACATAGGCTAAATCTTCATTTTCTTATATAATGTTATCGTAGCTTTGTCAACTAGAATTCATAGCAGACCAATCGTTTAAGATATATAAGTTATAAAACTTATATTTTGCAATTCAGAGCAAGGATATGTGATCCAAAGGATAAAAGAATCAAGAACATGTCTGCAGGATAAAGAAGACCCAGAAAATGGAGCCACAGTTTTAACAGCCTGCATTATGGGTGTAACCACTGCTAACACACAAATCGGGTTGTTGATCAATAGAACTAACATTCATAATTTTAATCGATAAAACCATTGGAATTCAAAATCCCGATCAGATATAACACAAGCATTGAGCTAAATCAGTCACTGTTGCATAACTTCATACAGAAAAGGCCAATAAGAATGTTAGCAAAGTAGCATTACAGAAACGTACAGACTCATAAATCAAGATTTCTAATAATTAGCGGACGATAATATAAAATCAATGAATGCTTTCAAAATCAATGAATGCCTTCAAGCCACAAGCCACAAATAATATAATCAACATCCAACACCGTTTCTTTGAGGCTAAACTATTCGAGAAACTTGCACTGACTGAATTATACCTCGTGTCTAACTATCTCGGACACTTGTGAATTGATGCAGGGGAGAAATGAATTGAATAGCAGCAGCCGATTCCGAAGGTCGCCAAAGGCTTCACTTGTATTGCGAAGTGCGAGCGCCCGCCAGGAAGAATTGGAGAAACGCCAATCACCGGTCTTCAGTTGGGAGAATTGGGGGAATGAAAAATATTTGAATTCGGGGAAAGAAAGGGAATTGGGAGAAAAGGGAAAGGGCCCCTGGGCTTATTTCAAAAGACGAGCTTGGTGGTTGGGTGGGCTTCTTTTTTTTTTTTTTTTTGGCCCAGTGGGCGCATAGAAGGCAAATTTTTTTTTTTTTTGGCCCAGGACAACTGCCCCCACTGGACCCTTAATGGGTCCGCCCTTGCCTATTTGCCTGTGTGTGTTGTAGGTGCAATGGTGGGGACAGCGTGGTACGGTGGCGTTTGATCAATTGTGGTGGTGCAAATGTAATGTGTGGTGCGTTCGAATCTGGTTGGTGGTGGTGGTGATAGTGTGTGGTTGGATGCGGTGGTGGAGAGTTTGTTGGTGGTGATGTGGTGGTGGTGTTGGTGTTGGTGGTCGTGGTGGTGATGGCGGCGGCAGGGTGAGGGTCGTCAAAAGTGACTGAAGTGGTAGTGCCAGTGGTATGTGACCAAGTATTTAACTGTAACCTAAAAATTTGACAACATGTGACTGAAAAATTTGAAAATAATCAGTGATCAACAAATTTGAAAATATGTTGCCAATGAAATTAACTGTAACCTATAATTTTTTAAATTTGTGACCTCGAAATCATCCGTGACTAATTAATTTGATAATATGTGACCAATAAATAAATTGCGACCTATAATTATGTATATGTGACCATTAAATGTATAATTGTGAATTTATTATATTTAAATAATAATAATTTTTAATTAATTAACTAAATACTTGAGTTTTACATTTTTTAAACTTAATACCTGATTTTTGAAGGGGTGAAACTTAAAACCTGATTTGTGAATTCTTCCCTTGTCCACTTTGGGCATAAGCCCTCATAGATTTGCTTTTGGGATTTACCGTAAAAGACCTCTTACCAATGGAGATATTGTCCATACTTATAAACTCATGATCTTCCCCACTTCTAGCCAATGTAGGACTTTGGTCTCACATCCAACAATCATCCCTTCAAACAAAGGACTACCAAACCTCCCCTCAAATGATCATACATCCGTCGACTCTCTACCAATCATGATTCTCCACTCTCCTCTTCACCGTGTTGGGGTCAGGACACGTCCATGAAGCATTCGGAGCACACCTGTCCAATAGAGCTCATCCATGGATCCCATCGCGAGCAAATCGAGGCTCACCACCTTCGTTCGACATTCCAAGGAATTCATCCACATGGCTAAGTCTGGGGCTTGGCTCTAATACCATTTGTTGGACTATGGACACCACATATTTCCACATTAGTATGATATTATCCACTTTGGGCCTAAACCCTCATGGATTTTTGAACTTTACCCCAAAAGACCTCATACCAATGGAGATATTGTCCATACTTATAAACACATGATCCTCCCCGCTTTTAGCCAATGTGGGACTTTGGTCGCACAACCAACACATACAAGTTGCCTCTCAGAACATGTTGGATGGAATCTGGGTGAAGTAGAACGTCTAATCTAATAATAATAAAATTATACTAAAAAATGAAATCCCAAGTCCTTTTAATAGAGCACATCTTGGAAACTTCTAAAATATGAAAATGAATAAATAACAAATTCGTAACTCGTGAATAAAACTCCTAAAATCTGGATTAACTAAAATTCTATTTTCTAGTTCGAAAAGACAAAGATTTTTAGTTTTTCTCGTGATTGGGTCAATCAAACAAGGGTTAGATCATCCTTAGTTAAAGAAATGAACTTCTAAGCATTGACTCAGCACCGATAAAAGAACACATTAATTAATTGGTGGATCATTTAATTTGAGTTCTATCATGAACTTACTTAACTTGTGTTTGACATCATTCATTTGGCCAAAAGCCAATTTTTTATACGGTAAACGTGGGCCAAACTGTCAAACACATGTCATATGAATTTCAAATGAATGAAGTACTATTTTACTTAATTTTGAATCCAAAAATCTTGTTATTCCAAAGCTACCCTCCAATTTCTTGTGTGCACGCCAACGGAGAAGAGCTCCAAAAGGGCAAATTAGTAAAATGAGATTGTGTTGTTGAGGATGGAATTGAAAAATCAATTTCTTAATCGGTTGTTAAAGCATTGAATGGAGTAATTGTCTGTCAAATGGTGCATAATTTTTTATGAATATTGCACTAAGTGAAAACCCTTTAAATTGCCAAAATAAAGGTTGTCAAACAGGAGCTCGTTAATTAATTAATGTATCATGTTGATAATGTTTAAGACATCATTTCTCCTTAGTTTAAATCTATAATTATCTCTAATCAAGCAAGCAGACATGACACAGCTCAACCAACACTCAAATTGTACCTCTTTTTGGCCACAAGACCCAAGAACTATATATTTTCCCATCCATTATATTCACCAATAGAATTTAATTATTTTGAAAAAATCATACTCGTTCGATTAGTGGGTTGGAAAATGTCTCAATCATACACAATAAATTCTCGTGTGTGGTGGTGTTAGTGGGTTGAGCGGTACCATTATGTGACACCAATGGAAAGTTCAAAAGTTCGACTAAATTCATGAATCTTTAGATTATACATTATGTACATTTTTCACAGTTTCTTTTTAAAGCTAAAAGTACGAGGCATGTTTCGTTCAAGGAATTAAGAAAACGTGAATAAAGACGTCGATTTGTCTCATTATCGGAAATTATGATCATCCCTAATTTAATTACATGTTTACAAATTTATTTAATAAATATTAAGGAATTATACACACACAAAAAATGCATATTTACATATGTGGTCTATGTTTATTGACCAATTGACGTGATGTTTACAAAGTCGTCGGTTTTTGTATTATTAATTTATTATAGACGCGGTCATGTACGGGCAGCATAATTAAACTGGTGATGTGAATATGATGAAAAGAATTCAAATCAATTTGAACGCGTCTCACATCAATAATTAAGAAATTGTACAGGTAGACAGACAGAAAGCCAACTTGGGCTTTTTCCTTCCAATAAGAACCGAGCTGGTGTACCGGCCAGGGTGACAAACACCCTGACCGGCCCCTCACATCGGGGGCTCCCATATTTTTTTTCTCAATTTTTTATTCATGTGAGGTCGGCTCATGTGAGAGTTTGTAAATTTTTTTGTCAAATTTTTTTTGTACAAGTAGCTTTATTGTTCCAACACATTGTTTATGTAGCAAAACTCTTTTCCTTCCTTCAATCAACCTTTCTATAGTAACAGAGTCAATGACAGAACGAACACGTGTCAATACATTAATGCATATTTACATATGTGGTCTACGTTTATTGACTAATTGACGTGATGTTTACAAAGTCGTCGGTTTTTGTATTATTAATTTATTGTAGACGCGGCCATGTACGGGCAGCATAATTAAACTGGTGATGTGAATATGATGAAGAGAATTCAAATCAATTTGAACGCGTCTCATATCAATAATTAAGAAATTGTACAGGTAGACCGACAAAGAGCCAAATTGGGCTTTTTCCTTCCAATAAGAACCGAGCTGGGTGTACCGGTCAGGGTGACAAACACCCTGATCGGCCCCTCACATCGGGGGGCCTCCATATTTTTTTTCCCAATTTTTTATTCATGTGGGGTCGGCTCATGTGAGAGTTTGTAAACCTTTTTGTCAAATTTTTTTTGTACAAGTAGCTTTATTGTTCCAATAATGCTGTTTGAACATGGTTAGATGAGAGGTGTTGTGTAGACAACATTTGTGTATATATATATATATATATATATATTTTTTTTTTTTTCCAAACTGTCCAATAAAATATTGACATGTGTCCCCCTGTTTTTAACCCATGTCACTCACATTGTTTATGTAGCAAAACTCTTTTCCTTCCTTCAATCAACCTTTCTATAGTGACGAGTCAATGACAGAACGAACACGTGTCAATACATGATGAACAATTTAAAATAAAATAAAATACACGCAACACCCATTCCTAACCTAAAAGGAGCATTATTCTCCTTCAATTATTGCAGCCTGCATAATTAAAGAGGAAGATGTGAACAAGAAAATTACCGTTAAATACGCGTAGCTGTCCACAATATAGAGGACCTCCAATACTCTCTCCCATTTCATCTTTTGTACTCCATTCAATCTTAGGGCAGGACAGCCTTAAAATATACAAACGTATTCATATTATTAGTATTAGTTGAAGAAAATTAGAAAGAGGGAAGCCATGGAACCAGCTGGTGGTGGTGCTGCAGCTCAGTGCAACCGTAGCCTCGGGAAGGGGAATACTAGTTCCTCCTCTTTCCGCCTCCGTAGCCCGAGTCTCAACAAGATCCGTCTACGTCGAATCTTTGATATCTTCGACAAAAACAACGATGGCGTGATCTCCCTCGATGAGCTCAGAGAGGCTCTCGGCCTACTCGGCCTTAACGCCAATATGGCCGAACTAGAATCGATGATCCAATCACATATTCAACCTGGAAATGCTGGCCTTACGTACAAAGATTTCGAGGATCTACACGTGTCGTTGAACAACGTGTTTTTTGGGTTGGACGAGGTTGTAGACGAGGAAGCACAGGAAGAGTCTGATTTGTCTGAGGCGTTTAAGGTTTTCGACGAGGACGGGGATGGATACATTTCGGCCCGGGAGTTGCAAGTGGTGTTAGGCAAGTTAGGATTGCTGGAAGGTGGAGAAATCGATAGAGTGGAGCAGATGATTTCTTCGGTCGATAGCAACCACGATGGACGCGTAGATTTCTTCGAATTCAAGAACATGATGCGTTGTGTTACTGTCCCTTCTTCTTGATTTGGAAATCTCCTTCTCCATCATTTCTTCTCATGTTTTTATGTTTATCTACCATTTCTAAATCTTGTCTTCTTTGTTAAAGAAAGCATTTATGATTTGTACGGGAATTTTAATTATACATTATTGAACTAGGACTTGTTTGGTAACACTAAAAATTCAATTAAAATTGAAAATATAGTCGTTATTGGGTCCCACCCGTCTAATAAAAGTCAACAATAATGACTAATTTTTCAATTTTAATCCGATTTTAATCTCTACCAAACACACTAATCCCAGTTTTTTGGACTGTCTAATGTATTAATATCTTGTTTTAATTGCATCTAACACAGTAGAAATTCTTCTTGCTGTCCAAAGGGCACTCTTGTAATCTACAAGTAATCAGACAGATTTTGATTTTCATGTACGATTCAACCAAACACTATTCAAAATATTGTCCAAAAATGTTGGTCTGAAGTCTGAAATGCAGATGGATCTAATTTAGTGACCTCAAACTTTATAAGTTCTTGACTTAGTCGAAGCTATATGATCTGATGGTCTGGTTTTTCCTATGTGTTGAGTCCAAATTATAATTGACAATTTCTAAATTCGTAAGTAGCAATTTCATTAGTCAAAATAAAGTCTTTGTTAAATTGCATTAGAGATTTATCGAGTTGTAATTAAAGTCAAAATAGGAGTTATTGAATCCTAATTAAAATCAAAAGAGTTGGGGTCGGTAGTATAGTCCTTGAAATAGTCCAAAATATTCAAGAAGATTACATATGATCATTGGAATGCAATTAGAAGTCAAAGAAGTGTTGGAGTGTTGCGCAAATCATGCTCCAGATTATCAGTCACAAGATGCAACGCATTTTTCACATAGAGACCATTTGAATTTGAACAAAGCTATTTTTAGAAAAACTGTAGTCATTTGAATTATCATTATAATGAATTTTGAATCACCACATTCGGACATAGAGAGAGGAAGTTAAAATGAAAATAATGACGACTGTTCAGTTGCTCGTCTGTCGCAGCCTAGAGCTCGAGCAACGTCATTATCTGAGGAACAGTAATATTTGATTTTCAAACTAATTTTGAGTCCATTTTCATCCAAAAACACTACACATTATAAATATACACCTTATGGGACGTTCAAAAGTATGTTAAATCATATTTATTTCATAGAGATTAATTCTTTGATGATCCAAAACATTCATTGATTCCAATATTCAACAACCACATACTATTTGATCCATAAATTTTTCAAAAACATATTTCGTTGATCAAACCATATTATTTCATATAAAAACACATGATCAAAAATACAAGATCTTTTGATCAAACACCCAACCACATAATCCATCGGAGATAAACCGATACCAGTGATCAAGAGCTATTGCAGAAGCATAAATCAAAAGGACTAAGGTGGGATACTAGAAGTCGGGATGTGGCGTTAGGAGCACGTAGTCCAAGAGGGTTAACGTATAAATCAGAAATCCGAATTAGTTTTGAAGAAGCACACCTCCACTAGAATCAAGGAAAACTATAGGAATTGAGGTCAAAAGTTTTACGGGGTAGATGGGTTTGGACCATACCGTAAGTTTGCTTCGATTTATAGTGAATTATTGACTGGAAACGAAATTTTTACCCAATTGGGATGTCTCCTTGATTATCTTTGATGTTCTTTACTGCTTTAATTATTGATTATGGTATTCAAATTTAGGATAAATTGACTTATTTGATCTAATAATCTAAAAATAATGAAAAGCGATGTTGGAACTAAATAAATCGGCTAATTTAAAACTTTCACCATGGAATACAAGAAAAGTTGCTGGTCTTTCCTACCTCTTCTAATCGGGTTCATTCTGGAATTTGATTTTTCGAACCGTGCAGGTAAAGGAACTTTTTCTTGATCATTATTTGAAGTTTGTGATATTATGAAGCTAATGATAGAGAAGTATCAGAAGAATATATACTAATTCCATTCCACTTGTTCTCGTTTACAATTTTCCCAGCTACTTTTTATACTGGTATTTGGCACTTGCGATGGCACGTAGCATTTTCTTAATGATGTATTTAATACTATTGTGATTTTTTTTGAAATAATGTTATTCATAGTAAGCGATTGCAATAGTCATCCAATATAGCAGCTTGTTATTTGATGCATTAGGACTATTGCAATCGCGACTTAGCATTACTCTTTTTTATGTCATTTTAATCATGTAATCTAGATCTAGAAATGAGTTTTTAATGTTGATTGTGGCAAGAAAAATTTGTGTGTATTGCATTCGGTAGATGAGTAAATATATGTAAAGATTACAAATGAGATGGGACTCCAGCCAGTGACGAATTCAGCATCAACGAAGGGTTGCCGTCTTGTGCGCTGAATCTATCGGAGTTACAGTAGACGTCGGGAGGAAGCTTGAAGTCTGAAGATTGAATCGCGGCGGCTGGTCAGTCGAAGAAGGAAAAAGACGGGGTTAATGGATTGTCCTTTTTTTAAGTTTGAGCTTTTTCTTTTGGGCCTTTTTTTTTTTAATAGGACAACTTAAAATTAGGGGTGTTTTGAAAAATCATGTGAAAAGTTTTTAAAATGTAAGAAATACTGTGTAAAATGAAAAAGTCACACAATGTCACTTTTTCATAAAAAAAAAAGTCACTTTTTTACTTTTTTTTTTT